CGCTGGGCAGGCTGGTTTAACTAACTGAGCCAGTGCTCCGGTCAAGAACCTGTGCATAAAACATTCTAACATGCCTCTCCAAAGAAAGTGAAGTTCCATCACCAATCTTGCACAGCCCATTGTTTCTGTGCATGCAGAGGGAAAGGAATGTTCTGTAACAGACCCTATGGAGACAGTTCCTTGGTATCGAGTAGGAGGACAGTTTCAAAACCAACCTCCCTGTGACAGACATAAGTCATTTCAGGGCTCAAATGACAAGAACATCAACGCAAAAAAGGTAAGAATAACAACTCAGTCAAATCAGGGATTTCCAAACAACTAACAGCATTTATACCTTGGTGGTGTCTGCCTGGAAAGATTATTCAGATCCACAGCGACTATTTTCTGTCCCAAGCAATGTATCATGTCTTGTCAGCTTTACTCTGTATCATGTCTTGTCAGCTTTACTCTGTATCATGTCTTATCAGCTTTACTCTGTATCATGTCATGTCAGCTTTACTCTGTATCATGTCTTATCAGCTTTACTCTGTATCATGTCTTGTCAGCTTTATTCTGTATCATGTCTTGTCAGCTTTATTCTGTATCATGTCTTGTCAGCTTTACTCTGTATCATGTCTTGTCAGCTTTATTCTGTATCATGTCTTGTCAGCTTTACTCTGTATCATGTCTTGTCAGCTTTATTCTGTATCATGTCTTGTCAGCTTTACTCTGTATCATGTCTTGTCAGCTTTATTCTGTATCATGTCTTGTCACCTTTATTCTGTATCATGTTTTGTCAGCTTTATTCTGTATCATGTCTTATCAGCTTTACTCTGTATCATGTCTTGTCAGCTTTACTCTGTATCATGCCTTATCACCTTTATTCTGTATCATGTTTTGTCAGCTTTATTCTGTATCATGTCTTGTCAGCTTTATTCTGTATCATGTCTTGTCAGCTTTATTCTGTATCATGTCTTGTCAGCTTTACTCTGTATCATGTCTTGTCAGCTTTATTCTGTATCATGTCTTGTCAGCTTTATTCTGTATCATTTCTTGTCAGCTTTACTCTGTATCATGTCTTGTCAGCTTTATTCTGTATCATGTCTTGTCACCTTTATTCTGTATCATGTTTTGTCAGCTTTACTCTGTATCATGTCTTGTCAGCTTTATTCTGTATCATGTCTTGTCACCTTTATTCTGTATCATGTTTTGTCAGCTTTACTCTGTATCATGTCTTGTCACCTTTATTTTGTATCATGTTTTGTCAGCTTTATTCTGTATCATGTCTTATCAGCTTTACTCTGTATCATGTCTTGTCAGCTTTACTCTGTATCATGCCTTATCACCTTTATTCTGTATCATGCCTTATCACCTTTACTCTGTATCATGTCTTGTCAGCTTTACTCTGTATCATGCCTTATCAGCTTTATTCTGTATCATGTCATGTCAGCTTTACTCTGTATCATGTCTTGTCAGCTTTATTCTGTATCATGTCTTATCAGCTTTATTCTGTATCATGTCTTGTCAGCTTTATTCTGTATCATGTTTTGTCAGCTTTATTCTGTATCATGTCTTATCACCTTTATTCTGTATCATGTCATGTCAGCTTTACTCTGTATCATGTCTTGTCAGCTTTACTCTGTATCATGCCTTATCAGCTTTACTCTGTATCATGCCTTATCACCTTTATTCTCTATCATGCCTTATCACCTTTATTCTGTATCATGCCTTATAACCTTTACTCTGTATCATGTCTTATCAGCTTTACTCTGTATCATGTCTTATCAGCTTTACTCTGTATCATGTCTTATCAGCTTTACTCTGTATCATGCCTTATCACCTTTATTCTGTATCATGCCTTATCAGCTTTACTCTGTATCATGTCTTATCACCTTTATTCTGTATCATGTCTTATCAGCTTTACTCTGTATCATGCCTTATCACCTTTACTCTGTATCATGTCTTATCACCTTTATTCTGTATCATGTCTTATCAGCTTTACTCTGTATCATGCCTTATCACCTTTATTCTGTATCATGTCTTATCACCTTTATTCTGTATCATGTCTTATCAGCTTTACTCTGTATCATGCCTTATCAGCTTTACTCTGCATCATGCCTTATCACCTTTATTCTGTATCATGCCTTATCAGCTTTACTCTGAATCATGTCTTATCACCTTTATTCTGTATCATGTCTTATTAGCTTTACTCTGAATCATGTCTTATCACCTTTATTCTGTATCATGCCTTATCAGCTTTATTCTGTATCATGCCTTATCAGCTTTACTCTGAATCATGTCTTATCACCTTTATTCTGTATCATGTCTTATCAGCTTTAATCTGTGTCATGTCTTGTCAGCTATACTTTATATCATATTTTTTGTTTCCAGCTATACTTCATGTAACCTAATCAACACGTCATATATGATTGGCTATTCTTCATAAAAAAACAATAAATATGTCATGTATGATTGGCTATTCTTTATAAAAACCAATAAATATATTATCTGTGACTGGTTGTTTTTCATACAAACCAATGAAAATGTCATGAATGATTGGCTATTTTTCGCTAGTACCAATCATGTCTCGGGTTTTTAAAAAATTTCTATTAATATTATATTGAATTTTTAAGTTATATATATGTTATTGTTGTTGTTATCGATCCAGCGGCGCATGAGCTTTCGCCCTTTGGCCCAGTGCCATGTAGTGGAATTCGCATGTTTTCACAAGCTGTTCTTTTCCTCCGTACAAGGTGTTCCACTTGTCTGGTCTCGGAGGGAGTAGCGTTCTTCTTGTCTCACTGAGTTTTGGGCACTCAAAGAGATGGTGTTCAACAGTTTCGTAGGAGTAGTTACATAGCTGGCACTCTGGGGAGTGTTGTGGCTGTATTCTGTTTAGATGTCCATTGAGTGGAGTATGTTGCATTCCAAGTCTGAAGATGGTGGCCTGGTCCCTTCTTGTTAGATGGAAGTTATATATATATTAAAGAATATAAAGAAATGAAAAGAAAGCAAAAACATACAACAGTGACTCATGTGGATATACTGTCCAGGATATGCAGAGGTACGAGGGAATGAAAGAGCAGATTTTCTTGCTAAAATAACTACAGGAATACTCATACTAAAAAAAGGAGGCATTCTGAAGAATATTAATGAATGAATGAATGCTGATAAAGACATGATGTTAGATGAGATAACATGTGTAAGAATGTGCGAACAAGGTATGAGGAGTGGATCCGGCAAGGAGGGATGGATGAGAGGAAGAGAACGACGTGTGTATAATCAGTGTGCTACGGAAACAGCAACTACACCTAAAGACATTTGCTGAGGGAGACTGAGCACCTACGGGTATGCCTATGACCTTGATTCATACATCAGTAATACAACATCAATCTGGAGGTAGGAGACATAAAAAAGAAAACCTTACGTTGCCTGAGGTGTGTAATTTTTCAGCGCTCTGTGTGCCGCAGGAAGATCCAAGCGACCGTAGCCTTGTTCAAACATGTTCACGTCCGGCAATCTCTGTGCTGTTGACATCAGAGCCTGCTTCACGACTGGCAGGGTTAATCATGTGCTTCTTGTCCAGCACAGCACTGTGGGCAAAATGAAGTTTTCTCAATTAATTCTTTTAGTTACAGTACTCAAAAACTGTTAGAAAAATTGTAAACTGTGTCAAATTATCAGCATTTGTGGCTACAAATGCACTTTGTAATGCCCAGATGACAGGTTTGATTCCAGCTGCAGGAGATTTAGCAGCAGACCGCCTTGCGTTGGTTTCAGCAGTGATCTCATCAGCTAACCATTCAGTAAGCATTGGCAAACTGCTGAATGTAAATTACTTAGTAAAATCACAAACAGCCAAAAAGAAATGCTTGGGCTGCTTCAGCAATGTCCTGTAGAGGACAAACAACTAAATTCGTTTCCCTTTTATCTTGGTTGGCTGAGCAGATTTGTCTTCATTGGCTATGATTTACTCATCATTCATCAAATGATCAGATTTTGAATAAGTCTCGCAACAGCATGTCTCAGTTGCCTCTTAAAACATGCATGCTCAGTAACTGTCTCAATTCTATTTTCCCTAATGGGCCCTCCATATGGGTAACACACAGACAAAATCAGCTGCAAATGATTCTTCTTAATACTTCATACATTCTTATAATACAGTTTCGTTGTAGGCTTTGGAGGCCTATTTTTGGGGCATTTAAACAAAAAAATTAATACAACCCCCCCCCCCCCCCCCCTCCCCCCCCAACCCCAACAAGCAGTATGTCATTCAAGGTGACTAATTAGTGGTTTTCCTCCAAAGTCGGAGTGCATCTGTCTCAGATACCAAGAACCAACAGTCTGCATACAAATAAACCATATCTGTAAAACAGATGTGCATGCAAAACTCAAGTTCTGAAACAAGACCAAAGTCCAGAAGTGGAAGTACAACCAGAACTTTCCAATGTAGTTTAAAGTCACTGAAGGCTAACAAGAAGAAGAAGACATGGTTCAAACCTCTGCCTCCAGATTTAGGAGGTCAACACTCACTCATGACTGCTGTAACCAGTCTCTGCAAGTTGTTACCAGTTGTGTTTTATGCTTTTAAAACACAGTGGTTCTCAAACAGGGATGCAGTGAGCGTATGCCAGGGGTGCCGCGGCAATAATCAAGAAAAGTCAGCTAAACATTGTAAAATGATTAAAGAAGGCATGTAGATACCTTAAAGTTAAAATGTAAGTTGTCTTCCCTCGCCACTGTAGAAGTTAGCTTATTTCTTGTTTGAGAACCGCTGCGTTAACACATCGTTAGCCCGACCTGGTGATGTCAGCAGCACGGCCCGTCAGCTGGAGCCGGTCATGGTTATGCTATTTGACTGACAACTACCTAAAATTCTGAAGTCTTCCTCTACTGTTAATCTACTAAAACTAGAAATCAGATGAGTAATTTTCAAAACCTCCCTTTGTAGTTATGCTTTTCAATTAACACCTGGCTGATTTTCTAAAGCTTGTAGTATTATTTAAAAATTATCAAATCACCTAATGAGAAGTGTGACTGCTCCAGCGACAACAGGGGAGGCGACGCTGGTTCCTGACAAAGATCGGCAGCTGGATCTGGAAAAAAACAAACATTTTTAACTTTGGAATAAAATGGATTTTAATTGTTATGTATCTATCAACTCCATCAAAACATCGCTAATCGCTGAATGAAAACAAGTGAGGGAAATGCACACACTGGATAGGACAAACATTCAGAAAGGCTAATTATAAAGTCTCCTTACACTCTTAACTCACAGAGCTCCAGAAATAAAAGGACACACACACACAAAATGCAGAGAATAAAAATTAGAGATACTAAAAAGCACAGCACTTACTTGAGAGCTGAACCCCGGACGGCTGATCCATATGTGACAATGTCTGGCTTCACTCGCCCATAGCCTGCCGGCAGCTCCTGTTGTGGGATACAAACAGTTGGAAAGTCACACACACACAAACACAAAATGAGACAGACAGTGCTGAAGCAACAATAATCTATGACTGACAAAAACTGCCTGTGTTTATTATATTTGCAGTGTAGGTGAAGTCTGACATAATTTAAGTGTACTCTGTGTATAGTACACTCTCAGACTGTTTCCCTACCTGCCCCTCTTTATCTCTGTCACTGCCTTCTCTCTGTGTCTCTATTTGCTTCTCTTTGCCGCATTCTTAACCATTCAGCCAATATAAGTAGATTAAACGATCCTTTTTAGGTCAACAGAGCATGAGTTTTGAGAGTTGGATTATCTTCTCAGCACTCCCGACACATTCACAGGTGCTCAGATTCCCTCTTTAACACACTCATCAACATCACCTGGTCAATAGTGCCAGTCCTATGCTGGCTGACAAGACTTCATGTGCGTCTGGTGTGCTTTTCATGCCTGGCTGTGCCGATCTTTACTCCCAATTCTTGTATTCTTAACAGTGATGCGGACCGTGGCTTCCAAAATCCTCGGAACGCCCTACTATCTCTCTAAGGCAGCAGGTATATAGGGCTAGACCCATATTTTAACTGACAAATCTACACTCAAGGGGTGGCGCGGGAAACATCAAGCTGGTCATCTCTCCCCGTGTGCATAACGAGGTCCCATTATGGGAAAGAAAACAAAATAATAAACCCACTATCTCCCTAACAAGCATATCGTAAAAGGCGGCTAATTTGTTTCCTTCAAAGTCAGCGTGAATCTGTGTAAAACAGATGTGCACTCTAAACTTAAGTTCTGGTATAAGACCAAAGTCCAGAAATAGATGAATAACTAGAACTTTCCATGTTGCCTAAGTTTAACTTCATCAAAACCAGGAGAGCTTAAACTGTTATTTCTCGCAGCCAATCAAGTTTGGAATTGTTAGATATTGCCTTGGGAGACTTCCGGTCCAATATGGAGTACTAGGCACGGTAGAATGTCTAGCTTGAAGTTATTTTTGCATCCTACAACGCTTTGCTAATGCAGTTTCCACATATGGATGGAAGTCTACGGTTTTGCTGCCTAAGCTACTGAGAATAATTTGACGTGTATATAGCCAATTTATTGTGACCAACTTCTTCCATCAACAACAGACTGCATTTCTGGTGGCGACTGTCGGCTTTGGCATCTCTAGCAACTTTCATTTGCATTTACCGTGTGCACATTTTTCTGGATTGTGCCAGGACTAATTGTTCACCAATTTTTCAAATGGGCAGTGAGGGACATTTCATTTGATTTTCACTTGCACAGGAAAAGAGCAAGTATGGGAGGGGGAGGAAACCCAAGTGAAGTTTAAACCTGTACCAAAACTAAGACACATTGTTTCATTAAACTTAATCTTAAAGCAGCAGTTTTTAAACTGTTATTTACAGTTTGCAACTGGTGTAGGTGAAGTAGAAGGATAGAAGAAAAAGCCGGCCATCTATAACTCCCAGAAAATTTCTGGTACCCATTTTAGGCTGATTCAGATAACGAGTGACTGCACAACTTACCCATGTTGTCATCCCCCTGGAAGAGAACCTAGCAATCTGATGCTCAAAGTTGATGCCTCCAACCCCAATCACATCCAACTGATCAGCAGGATTGTTCAGTGTTCTAAAAGATAACAAGATACAATTCAAATTGGTGTGCATCAATTACTTCTGACCTAATTTTCATTTGTTCATACTAACGGTTGGTGTCTGTGGCCTAAGCATTGTGAAAACACTTTGTAACGCCGAGGAGACGGGTTCGATCCCAGCTTCAAGTTATTTAGCAGCAGCCTTGCACGGGTTTCAACAGTAGTAATAAGAGCTACTGGTGACCCCAGGAGTGGGCCCATTTGTTGAATGCGATTTGTGTCATGGGTTTCAAGCCACGTCACTAATTCATCGTCCTAATGTGCTCGCAACATCTTATGCAAAATATCCTTGTCACTGAGAGTTGAAAAAATAATGCTTGCTTGCTATATACATCTAGTTTTAACATATGGCTGTGAATCCTGGACAATCGTAGGCAGGCCAAACAATTTCTTTAAGCCTTAGAGATGTGGTTTTACAGAAGAATGCTTAAAATACGTTGGACAGCCAAAAAGAGCAACCAAGAGGATTTTAAAGAGGCGGAAGCCCAAAGACAACTTATCACAGACATCAGAAGGACTCATAATTTTTCAGCCATGTTATGAGAAGAGGGAAAATGGAAGAAGGGATAGAGGAAGACAACGAGAGAAGATTCTTGACAGTCTTATTGCATGGCATGGGGGTGTGTCAGCAGACAAACTGATACATGCTGCAGGAGATCAGATTGTGCAGAGGCATGATCGCCCACACCAGTAGGCAAGGCACCTGATGATGTTGATCAATGTGCTCGCCCGCGAATAAACTTGACTGATGCACTAGCACAGATAACTTTAATGGTCTATTTAGTATTGGTGTTCATGTTTTGTTATTATGGTGCTGGTGCTACGATGTTGACTGTGTATACATACACCTGTGCTACATCAGTATTCTCCTGTAGGGAGAAAAGTATCAGTGAAAGTATCACAGCCATGCTGTAAATGGGCACATGGAATTTCACCTTCAAATGAATGCAGAAGAAGTATTTTCTGCTGAGTTTAAAGTTAAATCCAGTTGTATTTAGTACTCCGCTGATAAAGACTCGTCAAAACATTCAGATGTATTTGTGTGTGCTTTTTGTATTCCCTCCACAATTTACAATATTTAGCATTACTCATCACAGTTTAACAGATGATCAACATAAGATGATCCACTGCTTAACCAGTTCTCATGCCCTGTTTGTTGTTCTGTTTATTGATTCTTCTAAATTTCATATCAAGTTTTTAGAGCAGTTTTGGAAGACACAAAAAAGAAACTGTAAGACAAAAGTAGAGGAGAGAGGCCAAAGCTGCTGCAGTGAATTCCATCTGTGATATTAAACTAATTGCACAGGTTAGAATGGAATGGACGAATAGACTGTGAGCCCTGTGTGACATATAAGGGCACAAAAGGACAATGAATGAATACAATAAAACAAAACATTCACATACCCATACAGTGGTCCATCATTGCCAATTGCTGACACCATGATGACTTTATTGGCTGTCAGTTCCCACACCTGAAGATTTGAAACAACATGAGTTGGGACTGAACATATAAAGAAACTGTTTACCTCCAATCGTAAGCTTGCAGTCTGGCTGCCAAGTTAAGTTAGAACGAAAATGTGCAAACCATTCTTTTTTATGTTAACTATGGCTTGTTGTTTTTCAGACAGCTCCTGTAAAGAAGAATCTCTCATCTAACACATTTGAAACTCAATTCTTCTTCTTCTTCTTTCGTTGGCTAGAAATAGATTATCTATAACTGCAATGTTGTCTCATGTATGAAATTTGAGACTCAATAAAAATTTACTAATACAGTGGTACATTGACTTACGAACGGCTCTACATAAAAAAAACTTGTTGAGAAAGAGAAACTAGCTTTTTTTTTTTTTGAAATATCCATTCTCACCTCTACATACGAACCTAGATTCTAGATATGAAACTATGATGCACTGCTTATGCATGCATTTTTGTTGCTAATACATCATATTTATCTTAAAAAGTGGTGTGTGTGTGTGATGCATGCTGAACATACACATTTGTCTTTTTTTGTGTGTGTCTATTTTCGTATTTATAAAATCAAGCAATACAATGAGTTTATATATTTGCTGGGGACGTTACAGAAAAACAATTTAAGTTATTATTTAGATATCAAGTATCATTTCTAACATGGGTCGAAAGAAATTTAAAAAAAAAAAAAAAAAGCAGAGAAGAAGACAATGACAACAGAAATTAAGAAAGAAATTGTGGAAAATATGATGAGTTAGGCAAACTGATTTGTGCAACAGTATAACCTGTAGCACCATAACTACAATTCTAAGACTGGTTTTTGAAACTTTTTTTCACCAAAGAAACAGAAAGACGCCACTAGTGACAGCATTTTTTTTTGGGGGGGGGGGGGGGGGGGGGGGGGGTGTATGGGGGTTAACAATTTAATGGAAGGTGATTTTCATAATGCATACATAAGTATCATGTAAAAACCATAATAATAAATAATATATAAATAAATATGATAAACTTATATTTGTTTAATAAATATTTGCTATGGTATACAAACTGCATATTTATTACATAAAAATGCTCCTTCTACCTCTTGATCTATTTCTTTGCATTTTTTTTACTTTAAGAGTAGTTTGTTGTGATTATTTTACTTTTTGATGATGATATTTTTTTAGCCTCAGAACGGATTAATTGATTTCCCAAAGATGTAATGGAAAATTGGGTTTCAAGATATCAACTTTTCAAGATATGGACTTTTCAATATATTAACTTTTCGAGATATGGACTTTTTGAGAAATGAACCTTTCAAGAAATAAACTTTTCAAGAAATGAACTTTTCGAGATGTGAACTTTTCGAAATATGAACTTTCGAGATATGAACTTTTTGAGTTATGAACTTTTCAAAATATGAACTTTTCGGGATATTAACGTTTCGAGATATGAACTTCGAGATATCAACTTTTCAAGATATGAACTTTCTGAGATATGAACTTCGAGATTTTAAATTTTCAAGACATGAATTTTTCAAGATATGAACTTTTCAAGATATGAACTTTTCAAAATATGGATTTTTCAAGATACGAACCACAGTCAGGAATGAATGAAGTTTGTAGGGTTGTGGTACCACAGTACAAGGAACTTAGTTTACCTTGTATTTGTTATTTTCAACTCTTACCTTGTCAACAAAAGGATGGTCCATGAAGTCTGGTCCCCCAATGCTCAGATTTAGGACATCAATCTTTTTCAAAATGGCATAGTTGAAGGCATCGAGAAACCAGGAAGTGTATGATACCTGCCAAGTGTATGGTTAGTGAATTAGCAATTCCTGGGTAGAATCAATAATTCAAGGCTTCGATAAGCATATCAGGCACAAGTGGATGATGATATGAGGATGATAAAAGTAACCAAACGACAAAGTAACCATGTTTTTAAAAAAAAAACATCCTCCTACTACATTCCAAGTACTACCTAAAACTCACTTCTCAATGAAGTTTAAAAGCCAAAATTAGAGTTTCTTAAAATGTTTCTTTATTTAATCAAGAGACTTTTATCTTCAACATCAGTATTATATTCTATGCTGATCATAGGGTAGTTTGTTAAGATAATGTCTTACATGATCACCAGAATCTCGGAGTAAGTCTGTGTTCTTGCTTGTCTCAGTAATGGCATGTGGCCAATCTATCCGAGTTTTTCTTCTTTATTTTTCCGAGAACATCAGTATGTTGAGCCTGTTAACAACATGGCTGCAATATTTGCACTTTTCAGGCAACACATCTGACTTCTGCAGGCATTTGTTGCCCGAGTAAGCCTTCCCAATTAGTTTTGTGGGACAATGCTGCTGTGTGGTCAGATCTGTGTCTTCCAGTTCACAGGCGGTCCACCACCACCCCCTCCCCCCTTTCCCCACCCACCACTCCAGCAGGTCAGTCGAAGCAGCCATGTTCTTAAGAGAAGACAGGGACAGAACATGACCCACATTTCCCACCATCTAAGAAAGCTTCCATAAATACAGAACCAATATATGATGATGCTTGCCGGACTGGGCTCACCCAAGGAATTGTCATGTCCTGCTATCTAGATATTCATCTCTTTGTCACCCCTTTGCTCCTTTCCCAATAAGTTTGTCAGCTGCCAATAAGCTATCAAGTTTCTTTCTATTTATTTCTACTCATAGAGCATCTTGATTTTCTACATCTAATTAAAATAAGTTTTCATTTGTCTTTGTGGCATGCCTCGTTTGTTTTTCTGTCTATCTACAGTACTCTTTGCATTTTCCTGAAAAACCATATGATCACCTTTCTTTTGATTTTTTTCTTATGAGAAAAGGTAGAAAAGACACCTTTAAAAAAAAAATATATGTTGGGTTTTTATCACCCTTATTTTCAGCAGCATTGTGGATTTAATTACTTTAATTTTTTACACCTGTTTTATTTGTATCACTCCTATTTTTTTTTTAAACAGCATTTTATATTTTTTCATCACCTACTATTTTCGATGCTATAGAAATTTCATCATCTCTATTTTCAACATACTTTCAGATTTGTATCACTCCTAATTAGGACACGATTTTGAATTTTCATCATCTACCATTTTCAAAACAAGGTTTTTAGCCTTCTGATGAATGAAATACCTGGTTATTGGTGAAAACCCTAAACACATAGATATCAGCATCCGGAGCGAATCCCAAACACTCTTTATGGCTAGCAATGACACCAGCCACAAATGTTCCATGGCCCAGACCTGAATGAAGAGACAAATTATAAGTTAAAGCTAACAGGCACAAGAAATACTGTCATTTTAACAGCATTTTAGGAATGGGACAAGCAGTGCCCCAGGTCCTGCCTCTACAACCAATCACAGGAGTAAGTGCCCTGGGTTCTGCCTACAGTGCCCTGGGTTCTGCCTACACAACCAATCACAGGAATATGTGCCCTAGGGCCCTGCCTACCCAACCAATCACAGGTATCAGTGCCCTGGGTCCTGTCTACACAACCAATCACAGGAATATGTGCCCTGGGTCCTGCCTATACAACCAATCACAGGAGTAAGTGCCCTGGCTCCTGCCTACATAACCAATTACAGGAATAAGTGCCCTAAGTCCTGCCTACACAAACAATCACAGGAATATGTGCCCTAGGGCCCTGCCTACACAACCAATCACATGAATCAGTGCCCTGGGTCCTGCCTACACAACCAATCACAGGAATAAGTGCCCTGGGTCCTGCATACACAACCAATCACAGGAATCAGTGCCCTGGGTCCTGCCTACACAACCAATCACAAGAATAAGTGCCCTGGGTCTTGCCTACACAACCAATCATAGGAATAAGTGCCCTGGGTCCTGCCTACACAACCAATCACAGGAATAAGTGTCCTAGAGTCCTGCCTACACAACCAATCACAGGAATAAGTGCCCTGGGTCTTGCCTACACAACCAATCATAGGAATAAGTGCCCTAGGTCCCTGCCTACACAACCAATCACAGGAATAAGTGCCCTAGGTCCCTGCCTACACAACCAATCACAGGAATAAGTGCCCTAGGTCCTGCCTACACAACCAACTTCAGGAATAAGTACCTTGGGTCCTGCCTACACAACCAAACACAGGAATAAGTACCTTGGGTCCTGCCTACACAACCAAACACAGGAATAAGTACCTTGGGTCTTGCCTACACAACCAAACACAGGAATAAGTACCTTGGGTCTTGCCTACACAACCAAACACAGGAATAAGTACCTTGGGTCTTGCCTACACAACCAAACACAGGAATAAGTACTACGTTCTGGTCTGTGCACAGCTTTAGTAAGGAGCTCATATGTTCATGGAGCTCTATGTGACTAATGAACGTAAAAATGCCCAGTAAAACCCCAAAGAGTCAACAAATACTTAATTTGGTTTGCAATGTCTTGTTAAAAAAAAAAAAGTGCCTTTTTAAAATTCTAAGAAAGCATCATACCTCAAAGGGAGTCGCCATGGTGCAGCGGCTAGAAGCTCACGTGCGGATTGGAAGGTTGTGGGTTCGCTTCCTGGCAGAGCTGGACTTTTTTCAAAAATGACCTTGACTCCCAGGTCGACCCAGCCTTGAGTGGGTATCGGGTGCAGTCCTGGGAAGTAAAGGTGGCCGGCGTGGTGCTGGCCACATCACCCATCTCGTGCCGATTGGTCTATAAAAATATGTCTAGCCCTATATGCCCTATAAGCATAAAGGCATGGAAAAGGGACCTTTATTTTTTTTAAATGACACCCCAAATACCCCCTGGACATAATTGATAAATAATGTTGATAATCATGCTTTTACTAAGAACAATGGTAGGTACAGTGCCGATAAATGATTTCCCAGAACATCAAAGAATTGAATGGTTTGGTCATCTGGTCAGACTAGATTACAATTAGCCAGCTGCTACAGCGCACTACATGAGAACAGCAAATACAAGTCAAGAGGCTGACCAAGAAAGAGACGGGTGGAAGGAATTAAAGAAACACTACAGAAATGCAATATGACAATAACTAGCAAGACAGGAAACTACATCTTAATCCTCTCTGCAGCATTTTCTTTACGGTGTAAGCAGTAGGACAAAGGAAGAAGAATCAAGTTTCTGAGCTGTAAAAATAAAACCCAGAGATAATAACATGTGTCATCATCATCATGTAGCAGGTGCTTTGCACAACTTCGCTCTCATCATGGTCTGCCTGAAGGAAACTCGGGCTCTCGCCAACTCTCTCACCTTACGTACTTTCCTACTCAAGGAGTCACTTATAGCCCCCTGCCCTCCCTTCCTGGTACCATGCCTTCTGCTATAATTTTTTCCAATCCGTCGTGGCGCTTGATATGACCAAAATATTTCAGCTCCCGGGACAGGATGCCGTTTATTAGCCAATATTCCTTGATGTTAAGATCTTTAAAGATGTCAAGTTTTTCTCCTCTTCTTTGTCCAAGATATTCAGAGAATCTTTCTACAGCATTTCAGCTAAAAAAGCCCCTATTCTCGTTCTTAATGACTGGGAGATAACACGTGTAAAGTATTAAAAACAAAGAATCATCACCTTGTGCTGAAGACCAAATACTTACCATCGTCTAGTGTTTTTTCATTTGTCCAGTTTGTCCTGTCTTTTAAACGACCCCGTTTGAAGTGAGGATGGTCTGTAGCAAGACCTGTATCAAAAATGGCTACCTTCACTCCTGCACCTAAATAAGAAAAGAATGTATACTTAGATAAAACAAATAATTTCTTCTCCTTCTACATTCATGTGAGAATGTAACTGCACTGTGCATATTTACAGTACAGAATAAGCATGGCAGTGATAATTGAGCTTTTTGATCAACATGTCCAACTTCTTGAGGCATTAAAAATGTTTATATAGAGATTCTTGTCCTTCCTCTGTGTTCATCCGAAAATGTTACTGCATTGTGTCCATTTACAGCACGGCTGTGATATTTGCGCCTTTTGGCCAACACATCCGACTTCTGCAGGAATTTGTTGACCAGGTTAGCCTTTCTTGCATATAGAGATTGAGATGTTTATATACAGATGTGAGATGTTTATATAGATGTGGGATTTTCATCTACAGATGTGAGATGTTTATACAGTGATGTGAGTTTATGTAGATGTGGAATGTTTATACAAAAATGTGAGATGTTTATATGGAGATGTGAAATCTTTATACAGAGATGTTTATGTAGATGGGGGATGTTTATACGGAGATGTGAGATGTTTCAAACAGAGATGTGAAATGTTCATACAGAGATGTGATGTTTATACAGAAATGTGAGACATTTAGACAGAGACGTGAGATGTTTATATAGAGAGGTGAGAGTTTTATACAGAAATATGATATTTTTATACACAGACATGAGATGTTTACAGAGAGATATGTGAGGTTTACACAGGGATATGAGATGTTTACATAGAAAGATATGAGGTATTTAGAGAAATATGGTATTTATATAGAGATATAATGTATCTATAGAGATATCTCAGATATTCATGGAGAGACCTTAGGTGTTTAAACAGAGACATCACAGAGATATGAGGTCTTTACACACACAGATGCAAGGTGTTTATACAAAATATATCAAGTGCCTATACAGCTGAGGCTGATAACAAGGATGCAGACATATAGAAACTGTAAAAGTAATAAAGTAATCAGTGCAGACACTGAACACAGGCCCTGTCATTGTCTTACCTGTGAAACCAAATCCCCAGAGGAGTTCAGCCTGCAGAGCACTAACAATCTGGCAGAAGAACACAAATTAATGTATGAATGGTGGAATTTAATGAAGTGATGACGGCAAAGTCTTCTTCTTCTACTACTTCTTCTTCGTACTTCTTCTTCTACCACTTCTTTTTCTTCTACAACTTCTTCTTCATCTACCACTTCTTCTTCATCTACCACTTCTTCTACCGTTTCTACTTTTACTACTTCTACCTTCTTTTTCTACCACTTCTTCTGCCCCTTCTTCTTCTTCCGCTACTTTTTTCATCCATTTCTTCTTTCTACTTCTTCTTCTTCTACTATTTCTTTTTCTACTACTACTTCTACTACTACTACTACTACTACTACTACTACTATTACTTCTTCTACCACTTCTTCTTCAACTTCTACTACTTCTTCTTCTACAATTTCTTCTACTTCCACTTCTATTTCTTCTTCCACCACTTCTTCTTCTACAACTACTTCTTCTACTACTTCTTCTTCTACTACTTCTTCTTCTACCATTTCTTCTTCTACCATTTCTTCTTCTACCACTTCTTCTTCTACCACTTCCTCTTCTACTACTTCTTCTTCTACTATTTCTTTTTCTACTACTACTTCTACTACTACTACTACTACTACTACTACTACTACTACTATTACTACTTCTACCACTTCTTCTTCAACTTCTACTACTTCTTCTTCTACAATTTCTTCTACTTCCACTTTTATTTCTTCTTCCACCACTTCTTCTTCTACTACTTCTTCTTCTACCACTTTCTCTTCTACAACTTCTTCTTCTACTATTTCTTTTTCTACTACTTCTTCTTCTACTTCTACCACTTCTTCTTCTACCACTTCTTCTTCTACTTCTACTACTTCTTCTTCTACCATTTCTTCTTCTACTATTTCTTCCTCTACCCCTTCTACTTCTACTATCTCTTCTTCTACCACTTCTACTACTTCTTTTTCTACCACTTTTTCTTGTACCATTCCTTCTTCTACTATTTCTTTTTCAACCACTTCTTCTTGTACCACTTTTTCTTCTTCTATTTCTTCTTCTACTATTTATTCTTCTACAATTTCTTCTTGTACCACTTCTACTTCTACTACTTCTTCTTCTGCGTTTTTTTTCATAACTCCCTCTGCATTAAGCAACTCACTATGCATGTTGGTTTGAACCTTATTATCCAGAGAAGGCTAAATCTAGTCACTTCTGGTTGTTACTCAGCCTCATATATGCTGATGTATCGCCATTTCTGCAGTGGCCTCTTCTCAACAAGTGTAGTTAAATGCCACTAGTTCAATGTGAGCCTGGGTATTGATTAGGAGGCTGGATGGTAATATATTCCATAATATATTCCCCACTGCACATTGGACAAGTCCATGAGTGCTCAGATCCCATCTTCAGTATATCCCCCAGCATGTGGCGACTGATAAAACCAGTTCTGTGTTTGTTTACTATTCTTCTTTGGCTACCTATATAGTGTTCATGTTTGGCGTAGCTCTTTTGACCTAAGGTTCTTGTAGTCTTTTAAAATTACCAATTCAAGGCTGTCTCCTGAAATCATCTCATCCTGCCTCCTTGAGAGCATTGGGAATGTAGGCTCAGTCCACTGATTTTCCGGTACCCATTGTGACCCTGTCAGCAAGCCAATCCACTCGTTCATTCCCTCTTACCCCAGAATATCCTGGCACAAAAATGAAACTAATTCCTTTGAGTCGAGATTTCATCAGCATCCTGTCTCTATCTTCATAAGCATGCTCATGGAATCAGAAAGCTTGTATGAGAAAACTGCTGTGTCTCTAGCCACATCATTACTTTTGTTATCGCCATCACTTCTATGGTCAAACTACTTGTAGTCGAATCAAAAGCCCCGCTTTCTTCTTCTACAGTTTGCCCTTGAATTAGAACCATGAAAACCCATCAACTTTGTACATGCTGTACGACGGATCCCTCAGTGTAGATAACTGCACCTCTGTCAACAGAATTTTACATATGACAGTACAACAGGACAATGACAGTAAATGACGATGATGATGATGATTGACCTGCTTTGGCACAGCTCTGAGCAACTTCCGAGCCTTGTACCTGGAAGGTGACAGCCACATGGCAGGCTATAAAATAAGAAAGGACATTGTGGTAAATAACCAACACTCAAAAACCATAAAATAATAAAATTGTGGTAATCAACCCACACCAAAAGCTATAAAATAAGAACATTGTGGGAATCAACCAACACAAAAAAAACAATAAATTAAGAACATTGTGGTATTCAACCCACACAAAAAGCCCAAAAAATAAAAACACTGTGGTAATCAACCCACACAAAAAGCCATAAAATAAGAACATTGTGGTAATCAACCCACACAAAAAGCCCAAAAAATAAAAACATTGTGGTAATCAACCCACACAAAAAGCCATAAAATAAGAACATTGTGGTGTAATCAACCGACACAAAAAACCCATAAAATAAGAACAATAGTACATACAATTTCCACAAGTAACACTGATAACAGGAAAGACAAATATGGAATCTGAGCAATCTGGCTTGTCCATCTCCAACAACATTAAGGGAATTGTAAGCATCATCTTCTTCTTCTTCATGTTCACTGGGTGTAAACTCCAGTGGAAAGTTCTGGGTATTCATCCACCTCTGGACATAAGTCTTGTTCCAGAATTTGAGCGTTGCATGCACATCCATTTGACAGATCTGCCTCTTCAAAAAACGCCCCCCCCCCCCCCCCCCCCCCAGTTAGTTGACTTCTATGGCATACTTGTTGGAGAGGCAGTGTATCAATTCTTGTTTTCTTCACAACAGGGCCCTGGAAGCCATACAGAAATGTAGGCATGCTTATTATAACCTTCTATGAGAGAACATCTGTCACTCTGCTTTGTCATTTTAGATAGTACTCTTATTTTGTCATTTTAGAGTGCAGCTGTCATCTTAAACCACATCTCTAGCACCATCTTTTCTCTTTCAGACTGCAAGTGTCACTAACCTTTTATTTTAGAGTATATCTATCAGTCTGTCCTGTCAATTTGTCATATTTATCAATTGGTCTTGTCACTTTATATAACATCTGTCCCTATCTTAACATTTTGGATAGCATTAGTCAGTCTTTTGTGTCATTTTAAATCACTATTATCACTATACCATTGTCATTTTAGAACAGATCTGTCGCCCTACCATGTTATTTTAGATTCTCAACTAAGCTTACCATAGACAGACTTTTGCGGCCAGCACTTCTTGCATTGAAGGCAGAATCAGAGTGTTTAGCATCATGCTCCTCGTGTGGTGTAGTTTCATCTTCTTCATTAACTGTGGATATACAGAGTAAGACTGAACTGAATTACCAAATTTTTATGATTAACTGAACAGAGGAAAAACAGGAGAGACAGGGTTGACAACCTTCCATTTGCTCCCAGCAAAGACATCTGTTTTAGGTTCTATGACTAATGTAATCAACTCACAATTAAATTCTTGATGTACCATGGTTTGATTTCTGTGGTGGAGAATTAAAAAAAAAAAAAAGAATGATTCCCATAGCTTTTTTGTCAGTTCTACAAGCAATTGTTAACCCAAAAAACCACTTGTTCCAAGTAAAGACATCTGTTTTAGGTTCTATGACTAAGTAAACTCATGTAATGGTTTCAGAATTAAATTCTTGATGTACCATGGTTTGATTTCTGTGGTGCAGAATTTAAAAAAAAAAAAAAAAAAGAATGATTCCCATAGAGTTTTGTCAGTTCTACAAGCAATTGTTAACCCAAAAAAACCTTTCTTTTGTTCTCTGCAAAGACATCAGTATTAGGTTCTATATGATTAATGTAATTATCTCATGTAATGGCTTCAGAATTAAATTCTCAACATATTATGATTGATTCCTGTGATGGACATTTTATAAAAAAGATGGTTCTCATAGTGTTCAGTTGGTTGTACAAGCAATTGTTAACCCAAAAGACATGTAGTTTGTGAACTTGATGCAACCGGTGATTCACACAAGTTTCTTCAGTGAAACAACTTGTCCTGGAGTGGATTCCAGGTCACTGTGGCTTGAAAGGCAATGAAATAATGGACAGATGGCCAGAAGTGGCACTGACATGATGCAGTCAAATTGTGACTTAACCCACCAAGAGACAAAAATAAAATTAGTATCTAAGAACAATGGCTGGATACCCACACCAAATTTTCTCCCAAAGACTTGCTTAACTGCCTCTCTGCAGAGGGACAATGTGTCATATTCAGACTAAGGACAGGGCCCAACAGAATTCGCCAAGATATGAAGGGCCCTATAGACTACCAACATATAATAAAGTTTTTCTGCAGGAAATAAGGAGGTGTGTCCAGACAATGCTGAGCATGTGCTCCAACACTGTAAACAGCATGCTGGCAACAGAGACATGATCTGGCCCATTTTAACTTCAGTGAAGACAAAGCTGTATGGTACACAGGGAGACTGGGCCTGCACAACAGCTTTCATACAGGCTATTGGCTTCTTGATTTTGAAGTTTTCTGGCAGAAGGATCAAAGAAGAAGAAGACAGTTCTCAGACAGTGTTATGAAAGTTACACTGTGGAAAAGACTGGAGCCTCTCCACACAGTATTATAAAGGACAGCAGTTGATGCACTCCAACCAATCTGTGGAGACACCCCCCTCCTCCTTTTTCCCCCCAGGAAAAAAAAACCATGAAATGTATCAAGGTCTCAAAATTCAAAGAGATAATAATCTCAAAAGCACCTTCACAAGGTAAGTAAGTATAGGAACCTTTCACATGCCTACAGGTATATTTGGCATATAGGGCTAGACCTATATTTTAAATACCAATCAGCACTGGGTGGGTGAGCGATGTGGTAGGCATCAGCCGACCGCCTTTACTTCGTGGCTCAAAGTGGTAAACATAAAGAACCCCTTTCATGCTACTGTAAAGTAAAGGTCCCTTTACAGACAGGAGGCACATCAGACATATGAGGCTAGACCCACATTTTTAAAGAACAATCGGCACTCGGTGGCTGATGTGGTCAAACATTATGTCGATCGCCTTTACTTCCCAGGACTTTACCTGGTACCAACTTGGGAGGTCATGTTGAGATTGAAAAAAAAATCAGGGACCCTGTGGATTTAATCCATGACCTTCAAACCTGCAGGCAAGTGTTTTTCATACCTCTGCTTTAAAAATGTTACCCAGCCTCCTATTTTTATAGACCAATCGGCGTTCCCTAAGTGATGAGGGCAACATCACGCAAACCACTTTAACTTCCCATGACTGAAGACAAGAAGCATATACCACAGATGACAAATATGGTTCTGAGGAGATAAGTGAGTATCCACTGAAGAAAAATGAATGAAAAGGGAACTGGAGATTAACGTGCCCAAGACACTAAAACTGCTGCAACATGATAACAATTACCTAAGTGATTGTGGAACTTAAAAAAAGAAACCACCAAATTATTCTCCTGACAGAAAGCCTATTATCACCAATTTCCACTTCTGCAGTAACAGTTTGCGATCACTGCTTGATGGGCAGCAATGGCTATTATCATTCCATGTTGATGTAGAAGCTCTTCAATGTCATCAATCTCTTTTCTTTCCTAGGGCGGCCTCTTGACTTCACTTTACATCTTTTCATGTGTAGCACCTGCACTGGTAGTTATTCTGGCTGCATTATTACTAAATGACTAAATCATTTGATCTTCTGTTTCTCAATGAATTTGCTGCTTGGTTTGTTGTTCCTACAGTCAATCTGATAACATCATTTCTAACTTTGTCTCAGGTGGCTGAGCTGGCGACTTTTCTCAGGCATCTCATTTCCCAGGGGTTAGTTTTATGTAGGTTAGCCTTTGATAATGTCCAAGTCTGGCACTGGTAGAACAGTCTTGTTTCTTGGCGCTCATTCTTAAGACAGTTTATGATTATTAAGTCAAAAATAAATAGGTAGTCTAAAGGAAAAATTGTTTTAGAATCATTTGGTACCTTTAGTGTACTTCAGTGAGCGAGTGACTTTCCTGTGGGGAGTAACTCGTTTTATCAGTGGATGATTCTTCAGTGCTTCCACTCCAATTTGATCAGACTGGCCATGGAACTGCAAGAAGGATAATAAATTGTTCAATGTGTCTAGTAGTCTGGCAAAACTAGACTGTGTGTGTGTTTGTATGCCTGTGTGCGCATTTGAATCTGTGTGGTGTGTGTGCGTGCTGTTCATGTGTGCAGGCGTTTAAAATAATGTATTATGTCTTTTGTGTGACTGAAATATTTAACTTGCCACCCTTTTTTTTTTTAAATTTCAACAATTCTCTCTTCATTCTCCATCTCTTCAAAGTCTCTACAAAGGGCAAAAAGAGTTGGGGGGGGGGGGGAGGGGGGTGGGGTTATAATAAAGTCGTCACATACCTGAAGAACGTCAAAGTCACTGGGATAACTATTGGCAGGGTTGATTCGTGGAATGATCTTCCAAGAGGTTATCCCAGCCTCTTGCAGAGCTGCAGAGATGAATCTCTTTCGTGCCAGAGTCTTGTAGTATCCATCAAATGTGATAATGTATTCTGTAATAAAGATACTATTATGAATTATTATTTCATCAAATGACATTTTTTAAGCATCATACATAATTTAAAAAAAACCATGATCCTCCTCTGATGTGTCTCAATTTTGAGGTGGCAGCGTTGACTCGATAAGAACGAAACATCATTGCACTCAGGACATTCACATAAGCGCTCTATCACCATCTTCAGCAGCCAGCACAGAGTTTAAATTCCGATGTTACTAGCAGCAATTTAACTGTATGTCCATCTTGTCTTGTATAGAGTGTCAGCCAGAACCCCTGGTTACTCCCTCAACACACCACTTTCTTCAGACCATGATGATCAGTTTGTGTCTCTGTACTGTTCACTTGCTCCCAAAGGCCCTTGATAACATCTAGCTACATGTGCATTTACCACTAAGTGGTACAGAACCAGCTACTCTGTCTCTCTATTCATTTCCCAACACACCTGCATAAGTGGAGAAAATAACAAAAGTGACAAATATGACAATGTAGTTAGAGGACTGTTTTATCAGTGATGTCACTATCATCATGTACCATGCAAAGTGGTGCGAGCAAATATGTTCCGCCACAAACATCTGTCCCTTGTATTTTAGGTAAGTGTGACCATTGATCACTTTCTGCGTAAATCTGTCAAACCATTCAGCATTTTCTCTCTGACAGCTGGATAAGTTTGATCACTAATTCTCTTTCGTGTCACTGACAAACCATTCAGAATTTTCTCTCTCACAACTGAATAAGTTTGATTACTAATTCTCTTCCGTGTCACTAGGTCAAACCATTCAGTATTTTCTCTTTGTCAAGTGGATAAGTTTGATTACTAATTCTCTTCCGTGTCACTGACAAACCATTCAGCACTTTCTCTCTGACAACTGAATAAGTTTGATCACTAATTCTATTCTGTGTGACTAGGTCAAAACATTCAGTATTTTCTTTTTGTCCACTTGATAAGTTTATCTCTAAAGGTCTTCAGTGACAATTTGTTAAACCACATAGGATTTTCTTCTTGTCAACCTGTCTCCAATACTCCCGATTTTCTCCTTGTCATCCTGTCACTGACATTCTCAATTTTCTCCTTGTCAACATGTCTCCAATACTCTCAATTTTCATCCTGTCAACCTGTCTCCAATTCTCTTGATTTTCTTCTTGTCAACCTGTCTCCAACACTCTAAATCTTCTTCTTGTCAACCTGTCTCCAACACTCTTGATTTTCTTCTTGTCAACCTGTCTCCAACACTCTTGATTTTCTCCTTGTCAACCATCTTCATTCCAACACTCTGCTACCAGTGCCAGACATGGACAATCAACAAGACCCATGAAAGAAAAATAGAAGCCTGTGAAATGAAATGTCTAAGAAAAGCAGCGAATAAGACAAGACTAGACAGGATAAAGAATATAGACATTAGAAACACTGTCAAAACTACACCATGTTTAGACTACATAGAACATCAAAGAATGAAATGGTTTGGACATCTAACCAGGATGAAAAATGATCAAATAACATCACAAATTTTCAATCAAAGAAGCTCAGGATATAAGGCAAGAGGAAGACCAAGGAAACGGTGGATTGACGGGGTCTCCGAAACCTGCCAAAAGCATGGCCTCAGAACATCAGATGCTGCCCGCCTTGCTTATGACAGGAACTTGCATCTCCCCACAACGCTTAGCGGCATACGTGGAAGGAAAAAGTAAAAGTAAAAGTAACCTGTTTCCAACACTCACAATCTTTCTAGAAGGAAGCTTATCAGTTTAGCCCATCAGTAATCTTGTTACCTGTTGTCCATATCGACATCCTTGCATACTGGTCTAACCCATTCGTGCTCCAGCCACCAGTGCAGCAGCCACCTCAGTGTCTCTATGCCCAATGCACCCAGAAGGAGCTGACTGGTAATATCTTCTTTCTTTACCACACAATTGGTTTCTGCATGCTCGTTCGCGTTACATACCCATTTCCAACAGGCAGTGCTTTTCAATAACCACATAAATAAACAGAAGGGGAGCCTTGAGGCTGTAGAAACATTATGTATAATAAATAACAGAAAATGTATTGATCGGCGCTCTAGCAAAGAAGAAGAAAGATAGATGGACAAACCAGACAACATCAAAATTGAAAGCTATAGTTGCCGTGTAGAGAATCGAACTTGTCACCTCCAAATGATGAATGCACCTCTCTGTGGAAACAAGTATACTAAGATATATGACCAACCAACACCCCCCAAAAAAAGGGTATCATTTGCTATTTCTGTTGTACAGATCCTTACCAGTAATCATTATCATTAAGTAGCTGAACAGACAAAGTACATTATTAAGTATCTTCTAGACAAGAAAGAAATAACGAACCATTGTCCACAATGGAGCTGGTAAACTGCATGTCCACACGTTCTGTCTGTCCGGGGTGAGTGAGGTTGCAAAGATTACCATGAGGAACATCTGCGACCATAGGTTTCTTATTTTTCTGCACTTCATCAGAACCGACATCAACAGAATTATTTTGGGTAGCGGTTTTCAACTCAGAATCAAGTTCATTTTTGATAAGCCCATTTGTAATATTAGAATTTTCATTTTCAACTGCACTTGAATTATCCTGTTTGAGTATATTTGCAAGTTCATCTGCTTTGTTAATGACAAGTACTGTAATATCTGATGAGTTATGTTGGCTGTGATTTCTTGTGTTATTGTCATGAATCTCAAAGCGATTCTCTTCCGTGACTATTCTGTCCCGGCTCACATTATGAATACCATTTGTCTGATGAGTCTGAATGTTCTTGCTGCCCAACTGATCACTGATGCTGATGTTTTGGTACTCAATTAAACTGCTCCAAACCTTACGTTCACCTTCTGATTTAAACAGCAGCTTATTATTGGCTGAATGCAGGTGGGTAGACATTGTGTTATGCTCAAAAAGATCACTGATACTCTTCTCATGCACGTGTGTGCTCGAGTTGTCATAAATATCAGTGGTAACTGGGTCTTCACTATCAGGCCCACCCTGCCCAAGTTCCATGCCAGCAAGTGAAATATGTGGCCCAGTCAAAGCTAGTAAACACCAGGTGAGGGCTAAAGTTTTTACTAGCATTTTCAAAGGGAAGGACTTTTCTTTTGAATTGACAGTAACTGTCAATTTTAAAATACAACAGTGAAAGTGATTTCAGAAAGACAGCTTAGAAATTATTTCTGACGTTCCTCATAAACTGGAGTGGGAACTGCAACAGAACTATAAGCTGTGTCAAGTTACATCCATTCCTTTCAAAACTGTTTATGAAATCACCTGCAGAATATTAAAAAAAAAAAAAAGAGAACATTATTTTGGATGATATGAAAGATACTAAACATAATTACAAATATTCTATCTCTCTGCTTTCCTCTGTTTCATCCTTTGTACTCTGTTTCATTCTTTGTACACTCTCTCTCTCCCCCCCCCCCCCCCCCCCCCTTCTCTCTCATACACTATCTCATCTTTTTTCCAAATGCAGCTTTGCACAAACACATAAGCAGCCATTGTTAAACATTTTTATTTAAAAAGATAGACATGTGCTTTCTCAAAATCTCCCTTCAAGATGTCGTAGAACAGTCCAATTATTTTTGAGGTTGGTAAGAGCGGGTTTCCAGACTTTCTAATGCTTTTAATTACCCCAAAAACATCTAGAAATGGGCCTAATCCCAATCCACCTATGTTTCACAAGACAGAGCAGCCTAGGTCCCACGACTGCATACAGCCTAGGTTCCACGACTGCATGCAGCCTAGGTCCCACGACTGCATACAGCCTAGGTTCCACGACGGCATGCAGCCTATCTACCACTCCCTAAAATATTTGACTGTTTTGGGGGGAGATATTAGGAAAGAACTGACAGACATATATTTCTAGCATGTAAATGCCTGCAAAAAGTCAGTTAGTACCTACACATAAAACAATGCAAACAAAATAGCTTAGATTTAAAAACGAAGAGAGGAAAAACTAGAATACAAACATTACAAGAAACAAAATAAAATTATGATAAAGATCTTCGTCTTCCCCTTTTCGTTCATCCGAATGATGTAAATGTGTTGTGCCTGTTTACAGCAGCCATATTTGCGCCTTTTGGTCGACACATCTCACCTCGTCGAGCACTTGTTGACCGGGTTAACTTCCTGGATAGTTTTGTGGGACAGGGACACGTTGTGGCCTTTTTTGTGTGGTGTTCACTTTCGTCATCTCATCTAGCAGATGAGGTGACACCCTCTGAGACCCCGTCTGGGGCATCCGCGTGTAGACAGGTTGGCCCTCAAGGAAAGGCAGGGGCAGATCATTGGCATTCCCAAGGAGGTTTCCATAACAGCACAGCTGACACATGACACTCTGGTCTTGGCTCATCCAAGGATTCGTCGCCTCCTACACATGACTGCTCAACCTCACATCCGTATGTTGAGCTTCCCACTCATTAGGCCACGTGCCCTCCGGAGATCAGCAGGTGGCAGCCCTCAGGCACGTTTGACCCTTCTAAAACTGTTTCATCTGTAATCTTAGCAAGACAGTACATCAAAAGCATGCATCTGGCATGGCTACCAAACGAACACTACATCTCTGGAGGCCACCAAATCCAAGAGCCCCTGCCAACTCAGTTCAGGTCATAGAGGTGAGCCAATATCCATGGTCCACAATGTGGATGTGCGGCAGGAGTCCTGTGTGAGGATCCGTAAAACCAGACCAGATTTTAACAGAAATAAAATTATAATAAAGAAAATGGTTGAAGATACTGTGCAAAGGTGAGAGGATCAACTTCACTGCACTGGTTTATTCAATATGGCTAGTCTCTCTCTGGAGAGCAGCTCAACACCTACCAAAAGAATTTTACATTCAACATTGCAGGGACTCACATGGATATACTGTCCAGGATATGCAGGAGTGTAAGGGTAGGAAAGAGTGGATTTTCTGGCTACAAAAGCAGTAGCTATGGGAATGTTCATACGGGACAAAGGAGACCTCTGAAGACCATTTACAAATGAATGCAGATATAAGACTGTAAACAAGGAATCAGGTGTGGATCTGGCATGGAGGGACCTATGAAAGGAACAGATCGACGTGTATATTATCAGTGTGCTACGTTAACATCTACATCTTAAGACATTTGCTACAAGACACAGAGCATCTATTGGTATTTCCGGTGTGCTATGATGTCGATTCTCAAATCAGTAAAAGAATGTCACAAAACAATGCGGTCACTCCTAACACCAAGTGCCAGTTACCTAGGTTCATAATTCTGCTATTGGCAATGATGATAGCTGCTGCTGCTATTGGCAAACCCGGAGTCTATCTGGCTGAGGGAATTTCTTTCATTCCTACCTGTTTTGCTTTGTCTTGCTGATGTTTCATTTATTTTACATTCTTACCTAGTGTTGCATGATTCACATTCTTGAGTTGTCTGGAAGGCATGTTGTATTGTTATAGTTTATTCGGTTTTCCTTAAAACTATGGCCAATTATTATGGAGTCCGCCGGAGTTCAGCCCCCTGGCCGCATTGCAATTACGGAGTGGAAAAGAGGAAACGACACAAATGACGTAATTACTGTGTGTTGGCGATAGACAGCATGAACCGATGACGTAATTACTGTGTGTTGGCGATAGATGCACTGCTGTCATAATAGGGTTAGGGTATTGGTACTCCTTAAAACTACGGCCACTCCTAACCCTAACCCTAACCCTAACCCTACCCCTAAGCCAAACCCAAACCCAAACCCTATTATGACAGCAGTGCATCTATCGCCAACACACAGTAAGTACGTCATTTGTTTCGTTCCCTTCTGTCCACTCCGTAATTGCAATGCGGCCAGAGGACTGAACTCCGACGTACTCCATAATAAGTGGCCGTAATTCTAAGGAGAACCGTTTATTCTGTACTGTGTTAATTTGACTAGCATTGGATTACTATCTAGTTTAGGGGCTTAAAAGTATGGAGAAGTCAGTCCAAGTTGTGCCTAGGAATATTTATGAATTCTGTAGTGCCATAATTTGAGTTGCCCCACCCCTGATGTAGATTGGATGTTCTCTGGAGCTGCGGGATACAGCCTACACCATTTTGAGCCAACATTTTAACACTTAAACTACTTCAGAATGTCTTTTTGGTTCAATGGGGGAAAATCTAATAAAGACATGTGACTTTATGACTCAGCGACCAAAGAACACAATTCAAAACATACCCCACAACCAACAGGACACAAGGCGAGCAGCTTAATTCTTTTGTAACAGATACCCATACCATACCCACTATATTATATCAGAATTTAAGCTCTTATTGGCTGTTGGGGCTTGGTACTGAAACTGAGTTTTCCATTTAGTCTCTGTGTAGGTTTCAGGAGACAATTTGTGACAGAACTTATCAAGCTGACAGAGAGAAAAGCTGAATGGTTTGACAAAGTGACACAGGAGACAGTGGGATAATTTGGCAGACTTCGAACACAAGACTGAAGATGTGTGATGTGTATTGTGAAGTCACGAAGATGTAGATTTCAAACTGAATTTTACATAAGTATGATAAAGACGATAAAGACATTAATTAATAACATAACTTTTTAAATGACCAGAACAAAAATGAATATTGGCTCTAAATAAGAAACACAGTGCCTAGAGAATTCTGGTAAACGCGGCAATTATTTTTATTGCACATGTATTAATAATAATACTATTATACACTGTATAATACTAACAAAAATATTATTAGTTCTTTCCATTCGACAGTGACACCTGAGGGTTGTACTACTAATTGTAGTACTGAGTACTAATTGTAGTAGTAACTAGTAGTTGTAGGCTACAACTGTTGTAGCAGTCAACACAATTCTGCACTGCAAGTCTCCTATTCTTTGAATTTGAAAATAAAATAATAATACAATACAAGTTACCAGTTGCAGTATTGTTACGTAATCCATTGCCTTTGTTCATTGCCCAGTAAATGTATTTGTGTTACAGTTTCAACATTCACAATAATTAATCGCGTAGGCACATATGAACACTGGTCTCTTAGAACGACATCATGAGTCTGTTAACAAAATAAAACCGTCTGCCATTTTGAGAGAATTATTGAAAACCTGGAGCTAAGTTGATGTGTGAACGAAAGATTAGTGGGTGTGTTCTTCTTAGTCTGACAACAATTCAGAGTTCTTTTCTAAAACAGAAACTACTGAAAACGTGAATGGTTTTGAATAAACTTATAAAGTCACATACAAGCAAGCGCGAACAGGCTCACTCACACATAAACCATGCATGTAAACACTGTTTTACATGAGTGTGTCCTTCATCAGCGCTGTGTTCCCATGCCTAGTTTTAATATATTTTGATCAAATCAGCAAAGCATCCAGAATGAATCAATAAAAAGAATCAAAATATGAGGACAATAAGTGTAATTAACTCCATTTTGCAGATGCCCAAGTCTCATGGCAGCTGTAGATAAAGCGCTACAGCGATACCTGCATAATCTCAACATAGTAGCAAAAGTACAAAACATGTTTGAACTTAACACTGAAAAAAAAAAACAGAATTTATGAGTTAGATTATCTTTACAGCACTCCGGACACATCCATATGCGCTCAGTTTCCCTCTCAACATATTCATCAGCGTCGTGTGGTTAATAGTACCAGTCCTATGTTGGTTAACAAGACTTCGTGTGCGTCCAGTGTGCTTAAAAGTAATGACAATTGCAAGAATACAAGAACCCACCAAAATATAAAAAAGAAAACCAACAACTCAAGCAAGCAAAAGACTTAACAACTGACACCAAAAAAGCTCTTTTCAATGCAGCATTTTCTAAAAACTGACATTGTGTTATGAATGCCAAACGTAGACATTAACAACACAAGTCAAAAGAAAAATTGAAACAATAGAAATGAAACGTCTACGATGAATCCTAAATATAACTAGAAGAGACATGATCATAAATGATGATATCAGGAAAGAAGTTGGGACGGAACCAATACTAAAATACACTAAGAGACAACAGATCAAATGGTCAAGATTAGCATCCGACAGTGCACGAAAGAGAAGCTTGTCATTTAGACAAAATGAAAGCAAAGCATGGGGACGACCACGCAAGATATGGATAGATCAT